TAAAATTAAAGCATAGGGCAGTTTCATTTCAACTTGGTTAATAAAATATATTTTAATGTTCAATTATGACTTCTTTAGTAGATTTTAAGGTTTAGTGAATCACTAATGACTTGATAAAAAACCTTATAATATATTTTAATGTTCAATTATGACTTCTTTAGTAGATTTTAAGGTTTAGTGAGTCACTAATGACTTGATAAAAAACCTTATCTTATGGTGGATGAAACTAAAATTTTGGAAAGGCTAGGGACAAAATTGAAGAGTGACAAAAATATGTAAAGCCATAACAGTAAATATTTAGTTTAATCGTAAGTGAGATGCTCACTCTGGCATTTGCCTTGTAGACTCTTGAAATTAATTTAAATACATTTTTCATCTTTGAGTAATTAATAATATTTCCATTGTGGCAGAATATCCGTCTCTTATATCATTCATTTTAGTTTCTACATGAGCTTGAAGATTGAAATTGATAGAATTTGAGCTCTACTGGTTTTTCACATTTGATCACATAACGCAGGTTTTGTAATGTATTAGGTGGTTGTCCTCCTCCAGTGGTTAAGATGGTTCCTGCAGTTAGTATTATGATATTTGCTGTATGGGGTCTTGGACCATTTTTGCGTTATACAAGAAGCCTACTCCATGTATGTTGACTTAACTTTTGTCTCTTATGTCGCATTGGCATTGTTTGATCTTTTTTTTTTTTTTTCTTCTCTTTAATTGTATTCTACTGTTTCCACATTGTCTGATAATTATCCTGCAGAGTGATAGTAACTGGAAGAAAAGCCAGACATATAAAGTCATGAGCTTGTATCTTCAACCCTTATTGCTATGGACTGGAGCAACACTTATTTGCAGGTCCGTGACATATATTATTTTATATGTTGAGATGTGGACTATTCTTCTCAGTCGTACTTTCAGAGATATTTTTCTCGCGAATTTAGTTTAATATTCCTGATCTTGCTTTTGCAGAGCTTTAGATCCAGTAGTTTTACCTACAGAGTCTAGCCAAGTTGTGAAGCAACGGGTGCTGAATTTTGTTAGGTCATTGTCCACTGTACTGGCCTTTGCGTATTGCTTATCTAGGTGAGTATATGAGATCGCGTCGTTTATAATGCTCAATGAGTTTACCTCTATAGTAAAGAAATCTACCATAGCTATGAACAAGATAATCTAGCCAGCAAGGATATGTTACCCTTACAGGAGGCCTTTTGTTATGAATGTTAAAATACTTGAAATTCAATTTTATTAACACTTGCTTTCCTTATCTTTTTTTTGGTTGATTGTGTAGCATGATTCAACAAGCACAGAAATTCTTCTCAGAGACTAGTGAATCCAGTGATGCGAGAAATGTATGTACAGTGTAACATCACATTTTTAGTCTATGCTTAATAGATATCATGTTATTAGGTTTCTGATGGTTAATGAACGTTTCATGTGTAGATCATTTTATGATGACTTTGTTGTAAGCTCTGAGTTGTATGGTATGTGACATTATACTTGAAGCAAGGCACCATTTGATTATCTCTTCCACGTTTCTTGTACGATGCAATTCAGCACAAGCTATAGCTGATACATGACTATATTGCTTACTTTTTCTTTGAAGACAATTTGAGTGGCATTCATTATCTTATTTATCTCAATATCAGAAAGATATTGTTCAAATGGCTTTGCATTCCTGAAATTACAAACTTCAAGTACACACAATATATAGAGCTAGTGCTTTTCAGATAATTTTCGCGTTAATGTCATACTATATGGGTTTCTGTATTCTTTGGGATGCTATTCTCCCAGGAATTCTTGTTTCATGCTTTTTTTAAAACCATGGAAATGTGATATAAGTTCTATGCTTATGTGCAGATGGGCTTTCAATTTGCTTGGAAAGCTGTGTACTCGGCAGTATGGGTTGCTGCTCTCTCATTGTTCATGGAGCTGTTGGGCTTTTCAACCCAAAAATGGCTTACAGCTGGAGGTCTTGGGACTGTGTTGCTGACATTAGCTGGCCGCGAGGTGCTTTTCGATTATTATGGTTTGTGTTCTCTGTTTCCTTGAAGTTTATTTTAACTAATTTTAGATTTGCTCTCGCTGTACCTAGATTTTCACCAACTTTCTCTCAAGTGTAATGATTCATGCAACCCGTCCTTTCGTTGTAAATGAGTGGATCCAAACGAAGATCGAGGGCTATGAAGTTTCTGGAACTGTTGAGGTTTGATGTTTCTATTGAACATGTACCTTAAAATGTTGATGTCAAACAAGTACTTTGGCGACTCTAGTCAGTCATCAACGTATACCAATGTCTTAATTTAGAAGTTTTAACGTATAGTTAGAAACATGTCTTATATATGAACACGTTAGACACTTACTTCCATTTCAATCAACTGCAGCATGTAGGGTGGTGGTCGCCAACGATCATCAGAGGTGAAGATCGTGAAGCAGTTCACATACCAAACCATAAGTTTACCATGAATGTTGTGAGAAATCTCAGTCAAAAAACTCACTGGCGGATTAAAACCCACCTAGCCATCAGCCATTTGGATGTCAGTAAAATCAATGTGAGAACATTTTATTTTGATCTTTTTATATGAATGTATGTATGTACATATGGTCGAATATCGTATGGTGATCGTATGTTTATCTCTCTGCAGAATATTGTCGCAGACATGCGGAAAGTCTTGGCAAAGAACCCTCAAGTTGAACAACAGAGATTGCATAGAAGAGTTTTTTTGGAAAACGTGAATCCTGAAAATCAGGCCCTTTTGGTCAGTATTAGACATTATGGCTTGAATACTATTTTTCTTTCTGAAATTTTCAATTTTTTCCTCAATGTTTAAATAATTTAAATAACCTATAACATTATAGTTATAGGTTTTGTGATGGTTGTTGAGACAAACCGATAGGATTATGCATCATTTTTTAGAAAATGTCACAAATCCTCGTTCGTTTATATCAAATTGTAGGAGGCTCTCTCTCATGATTCCTAATTGATTTTTGTCCTATTTTTGCTAGATTTTGATATCTTGCTTTGTCAAGACTTCACATTTTGAAGAATACCTTTGTGTGAAGGTAAATTGAACTTTTCTGTTCTTTTTTTTCTATATACTTTTCATTCTTCCAAAATAAGTTTCAGCAATTCCATTGATCCATTTTATTGGTTTGGAGCTTGTCTGAATACATTTGAGTTTTGTGTCGTTTGTTTTTGATTAACTTATGATCTGATGGATCAGGAAGCTATATTTTTGGATCTTCTTAGAGTCATTAGACATCACCGAGCTCGACTTGCGACACCAATCCGCACAGTGCAGAAGATGCATAGTGATTCAGACTTGGAAAGCGTTCCATTTTCTGATTCAATATTTGGTCATGGTGGTGCAACTTTGAATCGCCGCATGCTGATGATTGAACCCCCCTACAAAGTTTACGGAGATGATCGAAAGCAAAGCCATAGTAGGACATCACGCACAACTGGAGAACAAAACAGTAAGCCCATTGCACGGTCGTCGGGTGACAACAAGGCAGCTAAAGAGACATCACCATCTGAAAGAAAGATGGAAGTAAAGACTGGAGAAGGACGAGACTCCGATACAAAAATATATTCCAAAGTTCCGATGTCAACCTCTGAAGATAATAAACCAAGCAGTGAATCGAAACATAAATCATCATCAAGGTCTGTGTCGAGTACGAATGGTATCGCTGATATGCCAACTTCTGATGCCAAAACAACTACATTAGATGCTGATAATTCAATGCAAGATTCTGGCTCCTCCAAGAAATCCAAAAATAGCTCAGGGAGTAACAACAAGCAGAACTACAAGCCTATCCATTCTTCTGTTTCCTTTCAGGAAGATGTCAAGAAACCAGAAGGAACTACTTCATCAGCTTCACAGCCAAGGATAGAAGGTGATCAGACGACAAATCCACCAACAACAAAGCCCAGCGTAGAAGAGAATATAATCCTCGGCGTTGCTTTGGATCGCTCTAAGAGAACACTTCCTATCGAGGACGACACGCCATCTTCCCCTCAAACGTCGTTGGGATCAAAAGATTTGGCTGCTGCATCCCTGAATGGGAACGTGGCGAGTGGAGCAACAACTCCCGACAAGGAAACGAAACGGCAGTCTCCTCCTACCACATCTTCTATTGAATAATGAGACTAGTTTGATTGTTGAGTAAACAACTTTTATGACCGAGAAGTTCGGGGTGAGGCCCCGCCCCGTGAAGCCTGCATCTTCTCGGTGCTACAACGAGTACTGTCAATGGAATTAGTGTAGAGCAGGAATGTAAATTTGTGTAATTTTGACTCTTTTATCAGTGAATTCTGAAACAAGAACAAGGTGATTACTTCCCGGAGCAGAGGCCATTGATGAGTTTTCTTGATATAGAGCTTTCTTTCTGTATATAAAACCTGATCTACAAATAAGTGTGGATTATATAATTATATAATTTCCACCTGGTTCAAATTTGGTTTTCTAATTTTTAAATTATTGTCATTTATGGATATTTTTATTAATTTAATTATAAATTTAGAATTACTTTTAATTAGTAATAAAAATAATTTTCCATATTTAACTTTTGTTTCTTTCGAATTAAGCTCAAATAATCAATGCTTCCTTAAAAATGATAGTTTATTACGTAGATAAAGCTTTGGAAGCCAAATAATAATAATAATAATAAATAAATAAATAAATAAATAAATTGGTACAATATCCACGGTTAGTTTAAAATTATATATGCTATTTTTGTTTAAACCACTCTTAAAAATAATAATTTTAAAAAATATATATTAAAATTGATTGCAAATTTTAATTGAAAATTTGAAAATAAAATAAATTTGAATAAATGACTTATACATTCAAATTAACTCGATTCAAAAAAAATTATAATTGAATTAATTCGAAGTAAGAAAGAATGTTTGTAATTTTATCCATAAAATAAATTTGTAACATCATTATATTATTAATTGGGAACACTCTCCAAGTAGCTGGGAAGCCGCTAATTTTGTTGGTTCGAAAAAAAAAAAAAGGCACCAAAATGTGGAGAGAAGGGAACGTTGGCCTCGAGAGAGAGAGAGAGAGAGTGGGGGCAAATCATTTTGTACGAAAAAGGTGGGAAAAGGCATTTTTATGGAGAATCTTCCATGGAACTACGCAGATCATTGATCGGTGTTGCGCAACGGAATCCATTCGCGCTTGCAATCCAACAATGGATATTCAATTTTATATACATCCTCTTTCAATTCCCCCTTTTCTTTCTAGACCGGAAGACATTCTTGTAAGCTAAGCAATCGACCAATCGCCCAATCGCCATCGAGTTCCGTCTCCTTACTTTTTTTTCCCGGCGGTGCTGGTGGGTCGGGGGTATTTTCGAGGGAGGTCCGACCAAGCCTCTGCCTGATCGTCTTCACCGTCATCTCAATCCTCCCTTCGATTCTTTTAACTCTTCTAATACTGGTGGGTATATGTAATTTGTTGCCTATCATCTTTTAATTTCCTTGTTTTCGAGGCTTTTGTTATGTATTTCTCGATCATATCCGGAAACCCTAGTTTTTCGTCTTTTGCTTGCGATTCCATTTTGCCCCTTCTGTGTCTTGATTTTCGTCGTTCTTTTGATTTCTTTTCTTTTCTGATCGATGATGCTCGTCTCAATTTTAGATGTTTTTCGCTTGTACAATCATCCTGTTTCGCCTTTGTTCGACTCGAAAAATTATGATTACTCTGCCGCGTCATTTGTTGTGGACCCTTTGGGTTGCTCCATGGCTATGTTCGTCTATTACTTTTTTGCAGCTCTATCGAGGGACGTTGATTTGGTAACATAAATGCTTGGGAACTTGATTCTTCCTGTTCAGTTTAAACATTTCAGTGACCACTTTTCATTCTTCCTGGATTACCTTTGTTTGAAGCAAAATGAAATTTGCATTACGAAATAATATCTTCAAATTCTATCATGTTTGTTTACCATATTATGGAGAATATTTTTTGTGATCAGTATTGAAACGCTGCTATTTGTACGTAAGATTATAGGCTAGGATGAAATGTTAGAGAAAAAATTTGGATGGAAGTCATCACTTCAGAGATGGGTTAACTGACATGTTGAATCTCGTGAGATGCTTATATACCCTGAATTATGATTTTGTTAATTTCTGCTTATGCTCTGTCTTTACAAATGATAGACTCGAGGTTGTCGATCAACATGCACAAATCAATTGAAGAACTAGGTAAAAGTGAAAATAGCAGGCATGAAGCATGTGAGAACAATGAATATGCAAGGCTAGTCATAGCTAATGAAGCAGGTCCTTTGGAATCAGAGATTCTACAGCCTCAAGATAAACTGAAAAGCAAATCACTCTTGAAGCGGTGGATCAAAATTTCACTATGGTGCATTGTTAGTATTGTATTTCTTCTTGTTTTCTTCAAGTGGGGAGTGCCATTTCTTTTTGAGAAGGTAATTCCCATTAATTACATCACCATTTTTTCTGTTTATAAGCTATCTTTCAGCTGAACTGTAGAAAATTTAACCTGTCCCTGTTATTTATTTTGAGAACTTTTTATTTTTTTTTTCATTTCTGCTGCTCATAGTACAGATATGCTTGCAAACTTATGCAACTAACTTTGATTTAATAATGAGTTTGAATGTGGAATAATCATATCTGCAACTTTTTTTTCGTTTCTGTTAAATTTCTTTATGATATTTGTATCTGCAAATCTTAATGTTGGTTCGTGATAAGGGCATTCTTACTGGAAAAAGAAAGTAATTAGTAAATGTTTGCATCAGCTGTGAAGCATCAAAGCATCTTAGAGAATGCAAGTTTGGAGAGTGGGAGGATGAGGTTTTCCCCCTCCCTTACATGTTTCTTTGTTCTACAAAATCTTTCGTTTCTATAAAGAAATCTGCTACTACATAAATGTTGATACAGAATCATTTTAATTTTAATAAAAAAGTAACCAAGAGTGTAGTAAAATCTGCATATAGTGCATTGCTAAAGAGGATTTTGTGGTTTGTGTTCTTTTAGTATTGTTTGTAGGCACAAAATTAATATACTTTGAAATGGGACATCATCTTGATTATTGTCTGTATTATTGGGAGAACTTCAGTACTTGTTCTACAGTGGTCTCTAGAGCTTAAACTATTCTGATTGCAAATGCATGACCAAAATTATGTGATAAGGCAAAAAATTTGATGCAGAGAAGCAGTGATGAGTCAAGTGGTATCTTATTGTGAATTATGAATAAACGTACCGAATAATATTGTTCATTCGTCAATTAGAATACACATGACCTTTTTTTGGTATTTTTAGTGTGTTTTGCTTTAAAAGTGTTGTATCGAATCTCTCTCTCTCTGACGTTTGTACTTCCTATTGATTTATTTGACCTCTATTTTTGATCCCTGAGTTCATTTCAGGTCATCATCCCAATCATGAAGTGGGAAGCTACTGCCTTTCGTCGACCTATGCTTGCACTAATGCTCATTGCTTCTCTGGCATCCTTTCCCGTATTTTTTATTCCCTCTGGCCCTTCAATGTGGTTGGCTGGGATGATTTTTGGCTATGGCCTTGGGTTTGTTATAATACTGGTTGGAACAACTATTGGGATGGTCCTGCCATATTTAATTGGATTAATTTTCCGTGACCGCATTCATGTAAGACCTCTATCAGTTTTTTTTTAAAATTCTCGTGGCGGATGACTGGACCTATACTTTACAATCTTTCATTTGGTTCTCTGATCTCTGTATATTCATTATTGTGCAGCTATGGTTAATGAGATGGCCTCAAAAAGCAGAAGTACTCAGGCTTGCTGGGGAAGGGAGCTGGTTTCGTCAGTTTCAAGTTGTTGCACTCTTCAGGGTTTCACCATTTCCCTACACTATTTTCAATTATGCAATCGTGGTAACAAGTATGAGATTTTGGCCCTATTTGTGCGGGTCCGTTGCAGGAATGATACCAGAGGCTTTCATTTACATTTACAGGTTTCTTTCTTAGTCCCTCGAACAGCTTACTAATAATCGAAAAGAAAAGTTAATATGTTGGTGTGCATGAATATATAGAAAATAGGCCATTTTTTTAGATTTTCAAGAATACTTTCAGGAATTGTGTTTCTGTCACTTCATATGAAACTAGAACATGTCTTAATTTTCTTAGATCATTCATATGAAACAGGAAGAATCTATCGAGATAACGATAATGATGGGGTGCATTTTATGGTTAATTCATAGATATTGCTATAACTGGAGTTCTTTAGATGGTAATGTAAGCTATCTCTAGATGGGACGTTCCGATTATTCAAGAAAACGAGAACTGTAAACAATGTTAACGTTTATCTAGTATTAATTCCTACTGCCATAATGCTTGTGTGGATGTAACCTTGTTTTGCATAATCTGATATTTCCTTTCCCTAGACTTCTTTGCACTCGTTAACGTCCACTAAACATATCAGCTTTACTTATATGCAGTGGTAGGCTAATGAGGACACTAGCAGATGTTCAATATGGAAAACATCGGCTGACGACTGTAGAGATTGTGTATAACGTCATCTCCTTCATCATCGCGATCGTCACTATTATTATTTTCACTGTTTATGCAAAAAAGATGCTGAACAACCTTCAAATGGAAGAAGATAATAGAAAGTATTCTGCCTCCCACCATGGTAGTTTCGAGGTAGAGAGTCTTTCGCACGAAAGGTACAAGTAGTTTGGTTTACTATCTAGATTGCCATTAGTGTAGGTTAGTTCCTGTAAAATTAATAATTAACCCAGACCATTCTGAATACACCACTGAATTAAGTTGTTCTTTAATGATTTTCAGGTTTACTTTATAAAATTAAAAAAAAAAAAAAAAAAAAACTTGTGATGATTTCTAAAGTAGTTCGAAAAATACGATAGCTGTTGGCTGGTCTGGAAATTGTGTGTTGATGATCATTTCTTCAGGGGGGGCTTTCATTAGACCTTAGAGGAACTCGAGTTTTCTCTATAATGAACAAGAATTGGAATAGCGTTCCCTGTAAAGAAGTATAGAATCACCATGTGTTCGAACTTACTAATTGTTACTACTACACAGAATCTCGAAGACGACATACGTGAGATAAAAGTAAAACTTACAGGGGTCTAGACCTACAGTTGATATTGAGTTCGGTTGAGAAATTAGTGAAAAGAGTTGCAATATTATCGTAAGTCTGTAATATGAAGCGTTGGCATCCTGGGGTATGCAGATCTCCAATCAATGTGATGAAGGAAGATAGAGCTGTAGAAGAAGTCGTAGCTGAGATTACCGACACAATAAAGAGTTGCTGGAATACTTGATGAAAAAGGATGACCTTAGAAATGATCTGTTTAGGTTGCATCAATGAATGAGAGAATGTCAACTAGAGAGGCTATTGTGACTATACGCTTGTCTTCTTAAGTATATTATCTAGCTATGGCCGCAATGCACTTAATTTTGTAGTTTGTATATAGTTTTCGAGCTAGTGATTTCTCGGTCACTTTGCCCGTCTTCTTCTTAGAACATACAATAACCAATCGACCTTATCTATAATGTTCAATTTATTAAAGAGAGAAGACAGGACTTCACCTGCAAAGAAACCGTGGCAACTTATTGTCAAATACTTTCAACTCTACAACTTTTCGTGTTTAAAGAATACAATATGTACTATACCTATATCACAAACTCCAAAACGGATTAAAGCAGGTATCAAAAACACCCTCTCCCTAGAGCCAAAATCTATCTCTATCAATTGGCTTGTGGTTTCTCTGCCAAGCAATATTGTTTTTACGTTCATCTCGATAGACATCGTTTCAGAATCCGACCACAACCAACGGTGTTTCTGCAACTTACACGACATGCTTCCAGAAGAATGAGTTTATATGATCAAGGTTTCCAAGGTGCTGGAGGTGGTGGTGGAGTTGGAAACATTGGAGGCACAGCAGAGAAGATGGTGTTCTTGTCAATTCCAGTTGTCTTTTCACCTGATAGAGCAACAAGCGCTGCGACCAAGCCTGCATTTCCAGCTAGAGTTGGCTCAGTGTAGTTATAGTTCATGCGAACATCGTGAAACCCGTCATGCTTGTCGGGACCAGCAACCATGGCACCAACAATTGTATTTGGGTTAGGTTTGTTGGTGTCCCTCCATTTCCATCCTCCTTTGCAGTTATATTTGATCTTGTTCTTTGGGATTGATGCACCTCTATGATGTACATGTTTCGGATAATGATTGCCGAAACCAACGACGTAGCTCATCTTACGCGGGTTTTTGCCAAGGATATAATCAATCTACAGAATACCCAAGAATAGCGTTTAACTGAGTGTAAGAAACTGAAGTAGATTGATGAACCAAACCGAACCAATCCATACGCAAGTTGATTTCGATTCAATTAAGCTTATATGTTTGGGTAGTTCAACCAAATATATGTAAAGAAGGATGTAATACCTGTTTCTTGGCAAAGTCACGCAAAACCTCGGTAGAATAGAAATTGGGTCCACAGTACCATCCAGGTGTATCAGCCGCTTCCAAGTAGTCACTGTACAAGGTAGCTAAAAAGGCTGCATTGACGACGTACTGAAGGGGCTGTGGCCTTCCATGATTTAGCTGAATTAAGCCTCCTATAAGATCACCACAACAGGATAGCAAAAATGTAAGTACATTATAGGAACTAATGATGATGGTGTGCAATGTTAAACTTGAGTTCAATTCCCAACGAGGAGTGGTGTTACCTCTAGTATGATTAAATTTTGTGAAAAATGGCAGGTAGGAACACATGACTATGCTAGTTTGATTGTGAAACGTCCTTAAGATTTCTTCGTACGGATATCCCGGGCTCAAGAACAGTCGCAAACGACTTAGAAGAACCTACAAGTAAAGGTAGAAACTTATTTCAAGCAAAGAATTTGATACCACTTCATGAGCTTCCATAATGTAGCAAGAAACTGATGAGTTCCCTTCAATGTTGTGACAAAACGTATTAATTCATCATGAGTCTAAGAATGTAATTTCTGAAACCGAAATCATAAAACTAACCTGGGCGCCTGCAAGCTTGTTGTCCCAGCTCAAAACTCCATAGTCAGGTCCACCCCAGAAAGCACCCGCATGTTTGGCAATGCCAGGAGTGGTAGCAAGTTGAAGATAACTTGAATTACCAGTGGCATAATACAACCAAGCTCCACCCCACACAAACTCATCCCAGTAACTAGTTGAGTTATAGAAGATTGAGGCTTCTGCACTGCCTGCACTGTATCTGCCTCTCTGCTCTCTGGAAAACTTGAAGAGTGTTTTGGCACCATGGACAAGCTTCTGCGAGTATGCCTTGTTGTCTTTGAAAACAATGGATGCTGCAGCTAAAGCAGCTGCCATTTCGGCACCAAGATCCGAGCAACTACTGCATGTTTGTACTGGTCGTTCATAATCAATGTCCTCTGGGCGCATCCAGCAATAATGATCATTTGGACTTGTATTTCCTCCAGAGGTATCCCCCACTCCAACCTGCCCATATGATGGATGGAAACACATTTATCATTGCTGAACAACAAAAGAATCATAGAATATCCACGCTACATTTGACATTCACAATTCAGTTAGAATTGTTTCTATAGGAACTATATCTTCGACAGATCGCTTATCCCCGTTCATTTTTTACAGCCTAAATTCTTATTTGTCCAACGTTATTTATTTTTTTCCACCGAGAAAGGTTCATTCCGAACCCGAACGCTACCTAGGACCCGGACAAAGTCATCTACAACATCGAAAATAAGCATTAAACCCGAGCGAGAGTTAGCCATACCTGCATAGCAATGGTATTAATAGAATCTGCAGTATGGTTAAAGGTCTTGAGGAGGTAATCACTTCCCCACTTGATAATATCTTTGACATGGTTGAGTTCTCCAGCAGCTTCATATTTTGCACTGTATTCAATAACACTCCAGCTTAACATGGTCATGGCAAAAGAGGCAGGAAAGTTGAACTTAATTGCATCTCCAGCATCATAATAGCCACCAGACAGATCTTTAAAGATAGCCGATGACCTTTCGCCATCTCTTGTGCACGAATTACCCCTCCAGGACACATTATTATGCTTCGGGAGCTTACCAGCTACAGTCATGAACGAAATCAAAGTAAATAAGAAAGTAACAGATCATGTGCTCTCTTGAATATTAAGCAACAATAAACATAAAGCCTAACTGTACAAGTAGAAATCCAGTCCCCTGTTTTCATCAGAACTTAGTCAGTAGCAGATTCAAATTTCAAGTTCTTTGATGGAAAGGGGTTAGCCATTAATACATCTGGAAATTGACAGGATAATACATTTATTCAGCGAGGCGATCATCAATTCACATATAGATCTTAAGTTCACCAATAAACATTTTCAATATCAATTAATTGCTAAAAAAAACCCAGATCTGATCGGATGAGCAAAGAAGAGGAACGCAAAAAAAACTTCCAGAATCAAAATAGTCTAAAACCACAACGATAAAAAAAAAAAAAAAAAAAAAAAAAAAAAAAAAAAAAAAAAAAAAAAAAAAAAAAAAAAAAAAAAAAAAAAAAANAAAAAAAAAAAAAAAAAAACAAGGGCAACAGTAGTAAGGAATGCACGATATACATACATCGCTGAGCGTTGAAGAACATGAGGGCCTTATGGAGAGCAAGGGTGTAATTGTCCGGCGGCGGGTGGGGGTGGTGGTGGCGCGGCACCGTTTTGACGATTAGGGTAATAAGACCGGCAAGAAATCCAGATACAAGTAGAGTACCAACAGTCCATACGAAGATCTTTCGGCTGACAATAATGCAGCCAAGATCCACATACTTCTTCTTCTTCTGCTCACCAGGTCCAAGCAACCAGCTCTGTTGTGTCTCATCAAGAGGCCGAGACAGAGCCGCCCTGTCCAAATCCTGCAAATTCCGGCTCCGATCATCGTCGGTGGCCGAATCCGCCGTGTTTATCTCAAGCGGACCCCCCCACGGATCTCGCCCGTACATACTCATCCTCGATCTCTCCTCTTAACACTCTGAATCCGAAGCAATTCAGATGAAACAACGAAATCAAAGAATGAGAATCCAAGAACAGAAAGATGGAATTAGGCACCACCGACAAACAAAGAACACAACGGCAGATCTAAGGAGATGGCCAATGGAAAAATGAAGAGAGAGAGAGAGAGAGAGAGAGAGAGAGAGAATGGAGAGAAATAATGGCAGTGAAGCACAGAAGGAGTATATGAAGAAGAAGAAGACGACGACGAAAGGAAAGCAGAGCAATAGCTGTCTGTGTTCTGTGTGCCCAATCACTTTTTTTGTATTTTATATTTTTCTTTTAATTAATTAATTAATTAATTAATTAAAAATTGTTTTTGGAAAAACGAGTGACGGTGCTCAAAATGAGTCAAAATTATTGTACAATTTAAATTCATTTTTAATCATTTAATATTTCATTATTATTAATTTTACACCGTAAAACAAGTTAATTTACATTTTTTTTTTTACATTTTAATTAAAAATAATTTAGCTAATTTTTATATAATTAAACCGAGTTTACTTAAATGAAAAACAAAAAATATATTAAAAAATTAGCTAAAGTTTTTTTTTTTTTAAATAGGTAAAATTTCATTTTGGCACATAATTTAATGTAAAAATGTAAAATTACAGGACTAAAATATTAATATTATTATAAAACGAATGTTAAAATATAAAAAGAAATGTGGAAATTGGAAATTAATTAATTAATTAATTTCTCACCAAATTAGGAGAAATGTAATTTCCTGGGAGATTGTGACGGCACCACCAAACGACGGCGACAACCTGTCTACCGCCTCTTGTTACAAACCTCTATTATTATTTCTGTCATTTTCTGCTAATTTATGCCATTTTCTTTTTTCTTTTTCTTTTTTTAATTTATTGTAAATTCTATAATTTCTTCTTATTATAAACGTTTTTTTTATTATTATTAAATTGTTAATAATGCTATGAAATTATATATGTAAATTATTATTATTTTTTTTTACTTTATCTAACCTAAATGTTAAATTTATAGATTTTGTAATACGATCCATAAATAATTAATAAGTTAGTCTAACGTTACTTTATTTTTTATTTTATATATTTATAATTTAAATCTTTAAAGAGTATATTTGGTTTTGTTTTTTGTTTTTTTTTTCTCTTCTTAGAAAAAAAAATAGTTTAGTACCCATTTCATTCCGTCTCTCCCATATTTTTTTAATTCTTTTTTATGATTAAAAAATGAAAAAAAGAAGATAAATAAAACACGGGACAAGATGTTCAAGTTTCACTTATCTAGAGAAGATGAGACGCTAAAAATGAAAGTGTTTGATACACATACCGAAAAGATACCAACAAAGTCGACCATTAATGACTAGTTCAAAGACGGATCAAATAAGGGACCAATCTTAGAAAATGAAAGAAAAAGAAACTTTCATAGTTCTACGCCGAGCTCCAACGACTTCTTCATAAGGGAGCTAAGGTACTTATTTCGGTTTGGAAATGCGTAGCCCTTTTTTAGTTGAAGTAGTCATTACTTTGATCGTAGTCAGTTTAAACACATAAATCTAGTCTACTTACACGACAACCATGTTGATCGGGAATAGTGGGTTAAGGCCATTAAGAGTTAGATGTCCAAAAGTAGAAATTTTGAGTGAAATATGTATACATAGCCGTACCAAGACTAAAGATTTTATTATAGGTTAGCTTCAATATATTTTTATTACGATGAGACGCTAAAATTAAATAAAATAATTAGAGATGGGATGGAATGTTTTTTTTTTTTTTTTTTTTTTT